CACACACACACACACACACACACACACACACACGAGTGCGACTTTAGCACTAGATTTAGCAACTTTCAGACCCTTTTAGCGACTTTTTACCATAGAATATTTATACTGACAAACCTAGCGACTTTTTGGGATAAACCTTAGCTATAGTTCAGTTGGAAGATTTCACCAGTGCTGTCCCACGAACGCGAGGTCTGACTTTCCCGGAGAAGTGTCACCTCTCTCGGCGTCTGTTCTGTGCAGTGAGCGGCAGAGACGCAGCGCATTCAGTTGGCCGCACTGCAGCTGACTCCTCAATAAATGAGTACAAAACAGCATTTCCTGGCACCTGTTGCTTACTGATTGTTTGGAATTATAAATATGAGCGTAGTTCGTCTGTTAATATCACATGCACTTTTTTTTGCTTGTTTGTTACTCAGACGCAGGCAGTGCGCTGCATGAGACGAAAAAGTAATATAGCCAAAACAACCGCATAGCCTCTCTTTAGTGTAACGTAGATGCATGTTGATTTTATCAGACGATGCCGTGATTATAAATGAGAGTGACTCCTGGTTAACATGTATTAAAAGGGGTCATGTTTAGTCACTATTTTGTGTGGTATTTTTTGACAATATTCACTCATCATGACAGTAAAATAGGGCATTCTAAGTCAATATACTGCAGTATTTCCTCTCTCAATCAGTAGAGAATATGGTTAACACCCAGTCATGCATGAAAAAAAATGCAGTCATGTACCGTGAAACCGGTATAATTTTGAAAAATACTGTGATATAAATTTTTGGTCATACCGCCCAGCATATATATATACTGTATAGTGATACTTGCCTTCAGTCATAAGAAAAGATGTCATTAAACAAATATTTATTTAAAAAAACAAAAACAAAAAAAAAAACTGTTGCATAGCATATGTGACGTTTCGAGCACGCAGGCTCTTCATCAGACAAATGAACAGCACTGATATCCCAATCTTTATAGGCCTACCTCCAGGTGATCAAAGGTCACATGACCGTACCATATTATCATGATAATAATAATAATAATACCAAAACAATAACATATCAACCAAGGAGAAAAACATAGAAACCAAAATAAGAAATAAAAATAAATCAAAAACATATAAAGCTATGCAAAATACACGAATATAATTATCAATATATTGTTTAATAACATTAATTGATGCCTGCCTAGGTACATAAATACAAATCAATAACCACCAAGCATTTATTATATGTAAATAAATATCTTGTGTTTAAAGAAATGGACGTATTGATAATTATATTCGTGTATTTTGCATAGCTTTATATGTTTTTGATTTATTTTTATTTCTTATTTTGGTTTCTATGTTTTTCTCCTTGGTTGATATGTTATTGTTTTGGTATTATTATTATTATTATCATGATAATATGGTACGGTCATGTGACCTTTGATCACCTGGAGGTAGGCCTATAAAGATTGGGATATCAGTGCTGTTCATTTGTCTGATGAAGAGCCTGCGTGCTCGAAACGTCACATATGCTATGCAACAGTTTTTTTTTTTAATACATTTTTTGATACTTTTGGAGCTTTGGTATTCCCAAAATTTTCCACTTGTTTCTTAGTCGAGCACCCAGTTGAGATTGATGTGCGTGCTTTTGCCTGCTCTTCATTAAACAAATATTAAAAATATACTCTTTATGTTGTTTCTACATTAATTTGAAGATTGAATGTGAAATCTTTGTAATATAAAAGTATATTTAAAAATGTTAGGTAGGATTAATCACAATTAATAGTGATTAATTTCAGAAAACAATGTGCAGTTCAATAGTTATTTTTTTAATTGATTGACAGCACCAGTTTTAATGTCTTGCAAGCATAAACATTTGGTTGTGTGTGATGCATTTTGAATCCATTTGAATTTCTTCTGTTTTAAGTATGTCTCAAGATAAAGTTATATAACAGGATAACATAAATGAGTCTGGAAAGCATCAGTATGGTGTTTAAAGTTAAATATTATTTTATTCCCAGTGCACAGTTTTTTCACAGCAAAAGTGTGTTTATGAATGTATTGCTTAATTAAAACATAAGAAATTATAAAATAATATTTAATAGATATTGTAAACAACAGTTGTTAATTTAATTAATAATAAATGAAAAATTATTCGACAATAAATTATTATTATTATTACTTGAATTATTAATATTGTGTTGCATAAACAAAAACATTTGCAGGATAAGTACAAATCTCAACTGAAAAATAGATGTTGTCAAGCCCTGGACTTCATAACTGAATAATAGAATATATTCTATAAAATGACCAATAGGAACAATAATTTAGCTTAATTCTCTGTTTTTTTTTTCATTTAATAAAGGCTTCTTAAGTTCTGATGGCATCTTCACATGCTGAACAGATCTCTCTGACAGTGGGTGTATGGATGTGCCATCTGGGAGAGCACTGGTCTGATTAGAGGCACATTAAGAAGGACCTCACAGCTGTCTTTCTGTATTTAATTATACCCACCTCGCCATCTTCATGCATACAGAGCACAGATTTAGGAAATAACCTTCTCATTCAGGAGTAGTTGTTGCAGAACAGTAGGAAGATGACAATAATATGAATTGTGTTGACCAGAGGGTATCTGTGTTACACAACATGACGACGTAATACAACATAAAATTACAAAACAAATCCAACATCAAGCCTTTCTGTGTTTCAGGACGTCAAAGCTATGGTGACACACTCGGTTCAGAGTGCCATCCATTCTATTGGAGGAGTTCAGGTCCTTTTCCCCCTGTTTGCACAGCTGGATTTCCTCCAGCACAGCGGTGACGAGCTGGACACCTCCGTCTGGTGAGAACACCAACTCTGCCTGGGGGCAGAATGAAAATTAGGAAAGGGATTCTCAGTGGGGAAAAAAGATTGAGCTCTTCTCAGTTTTAGCCTGGCCAGGAAAAACTGAAAATGAAGTTAATATTGTCTGTCCTAGAGTTGCTATACCCAGTAGACTCACACTAGCAGCTTTTTAAGGAGATGTTTTCTCATGGTACACAAACCATTAGTCTGTTTTTGGCTGTAGGGTTTGGTCCTCGAGAGGTCAGTTCTCAGTGTCATTCACTGTTATTTTGTGTGGACACCATTGCCTCAGAGCCAATACAAAGTTAAATATTTAACCATGATTGGCTGTAGTACTAACAAATGAGTGTAACCTGGAGTACAAATACCTCAGTCAAGAATTTGAATAGTTTTTTTTTCTTTCCCATTATCATTATGACCAGTTTGATCAGTTGTATTGACGACAACAGCAAAATATTTTTGCATCATCACTTTGGAGCAGCTATTTATAATAATAAATATTATTCTTTATCTCATTTGACCTGTGACATATTAGGGATTACTAAGAGATAAGAGATTACTCCCCCCAAAAATAATTTAAAGCCATTATTGTGTTAGATGAGAAAATCATTGAATAGACACTACAAAAAAGTTTTTTTAAAAAAATTTTTTTTACATTAAATAATTTATTACACAAACATTTAAGCCTACACTGTGGTCATACCATTGTTCAGATGCTGCATCTGAAGTGGTATTTAGTTATATTTACTGTAAACAGACATAGCTGGCATGAACATTTACACTGCAATTTGAATTGCATAAATAATGCTGTGAGACTAATGGGTTTAAAATGTGCGTTAATGGTTTTGAAAAAAAAAAAAAATCTTGAAATTATAAAAAAAAAAAAATAATAAATGAAATGATCCTCTAAATATGAAACTAAAACCGCCAGTAGGTGGCGGCAAGTCACTGTCTTAATGAGTGAGTCATTCAACCAATTCCTTCAAATGGCTGATTCATTCAGAAACGAAGCAAGTGACTGTCTTTATGGACGGGTCACTTAATCATTGGCCCACTCGATACATTCAAATGCATAGATTCATTCAGTAACAAAACACTGTTGTGTGTTTCTTGGAGACACAACAGTTCTGCAGTGGCTTTTAATGGAACTATTTTTGTTGGAAAAATTAAACAAAAACTGACAATATTGTATCTAAAATGTAATAGGTAGGTATTGTGCAGATTTGAGGGAAAAACAGCACTCTTGCTGATGTGATATTGCTAAACTATATCAGATGATATAAATCTAAGACAAATCCCCTTAGGGTGCATCATTATCATCCTGCATGTTGTTTGTCAGCAACTGCATGCAGTGTAAGATGGCATACAAGTTAAATTTGTTAATTTTTAATTATTTTTTGATAGTTAATTGAACCAAATTAATGTGCTAAATTGACAGGCCTAGTGAAAATGTAGGACTTTCGCAATAGAACACACAAAAAAATATTTTGCAGAATGTTCAAGCTGGTTCCATGCAAAAGACCTATGAAAGTCGAACATTTGATGATTTTTTCCCCCATCGTATCTCAAATCTCATTTAAACTTTGAAACATTGCATGTCGTGTGAGCCAGATACTCGCCCACTTTGCTCTCCCACTCTCCCAATCTAGTTACTGTCCTATCTAAATAGAGGGGGAAATTACAACAAACTTAAACGCCAAAACCAGTGTTTGTCATCAGTGATGAAACACCAGGTTTGAAAGTGTTTAAGCTTTTCACCCTGTTCATCAAGACTTGTTTTATGGACATTTTCATTTATTTGGATTTTGACAGCCTCTGGTCGCTGTCTTACTTGAACTAGATCAGGTCTATATGTTATTTATCTTTTTGTTGTTAGTTCTGCTCAGTCTTTCTCTACTGAAGCTCACCTGTTGAATGTTTTTTTTTCTCAGTTACACACTACTGTCATTTGTGATGGAGCTGCTGAAGGGCTCTGTAGCTATGCAAGAGCAGGTGCTGGCCTGCAAGGGCTTTCTTGTCATCGGTTACGCACTGGAGAAGGTAAGTGCCAAACACGAATATAACTTTATGCATCGAGTATGTTGAACACGTACATCCAAAGGCAGTTTAAATCCTGCTAATGCTGTAACATAAGAAAAAAGGAGAAAACTGTCTTCTTAAATGTTCAAAGTAACCTTATATATATATATATATATATGCAAGTCTGTATCTGAAGGCCCTAAAATGTGCAAATGTTAAAAGCTTTTGACATGATTAAGTTGCTTTTGTAACTATAGAAACCCAACTTAGAAATTTTTAATTAGTTCTAAATCCGGTAATTTGAACAAAGTCTAAAATGATTTATTCAATATTTAAACTGCAGGTAAATATTTAATTTTAGTAAGAGTCACATTTTATTTTTTCCCCTACATTTCCCCCCCTTTTTTCTTTTGTTGCCAAAATAAATGCTACTACTGATTTAGCAGCACTTGGCCGTGGTAATTTTTTATACAGGAATGCTAGTGCCTCTTTGTTACAGATGGTTATAATGGAGTGTTAAGATTTATTACTGAATTAAGAGATTCATGCAAAGGTCGATTGTCCCTCTCCAACAACATGTGAACAGTGAAATTGTTTATATTGCCCCTTGTGTTATATTTTTTTATTGCTGTAATATTGCTACTGTTTTGGCTCTCTTAACAAAGAGATTTCAGTCACAAGAGACCAAACCGGTAAAATTAAGATTGAAAAACTTGTGCACTGTAATTTTAGAAAATAAGTTGCAAATTAATATGTCACACCAGGTCAGAATTGCATTGCTGTGAGAACAAAAAACAACAAAAAAGTGAGTAGAAGTCACATTTTATTACTACATTCCAAAGTAATGTAAAAATAGCAGTAAATAAAATGAAACGTATATCCACCCAAAACAGCAACTTTCACATGCAAAATACAATTGTCATACAATTGTGCTGACCGGCACAGCCCTACTGAACAACAGAGAAGTTAAATAGAGCCTTTTAACTGTTTGGTTAATATCCAGAATATACAGTAATTGTCCTATGCTGCATCTTTAAGTCTAAAAAAGTAAAAGGATTCTCTTGTGATTGTTAGGACAGTGAGTCATCTGCACGTTGGCAATCAGCCCAGGTGTTTTAAGGAACATTAGAAACACAGCTACAACAGCTTGCAAAACCTGACAGCTTCAAAAAAATCTGCAAATTCTATTTCTGTCTGTCTTTCACATTTTTTGATAATTTGTTTTTGTTTATCAACTTCGTTTTATTGATTTTGATTTCTTGTTTATATTTTCTTCTCAGTCTTCCAAAGTACATGTGACACGACCTGTGCTAGACATTGTCCTTGCCTTCGCCCGTTATCTTAGCAACCTTCCTACTGGAGTTTTGCTCTTGAAACAGCTGTGTGACCACATCCTCTTCAACCCTACCATCTGGATTCATGCCCCAGCTAAGGTATCTTACACATTTACACAAACTGACGCTGCTGCATCATGCTAACTTTATAGTTTACCAATTCTTTGTTCTCTCAAATGTGACTTTTCATTGGTGGTTGAAACTAATTTGCTGCTCTCAACAGGTACAGCTGCTTCTCTACACCTACCTGGCCACAGAATTCATCAGCACTGTCAACATCTACAACGCCATCCGTAGAGTTGGAACTGTACTGCAGATCATGCACACACTCAAATATTTCTACTGGGTTGTAAACCCACTGAACCGCAGCGGAATCACGCCCAAGGGTCTTGGTAAGAGAGTAGTCTGCTGCAAAACTAAACCAACTTCTCAACATGTCATGAGACTAGGGAATAAGGGTCAAAAAATGTCCATGTGACGCTACAGTGGTGTCTAAAAGTCTGGGAATAGTAATAAAACATCTTCTATTTTTTACATTTAATACAGTTTATTTATGGTGCAAATTATAGTTATAAATTAAATTATACAGTATTAGCATAAGATCATTTACTAATACTACTAATTTGATGGGTTTGAGTCCTGCTGCAACTTAATATTTGTAATGCATTTAATATTTCATTCTTTTTAATAATCATTAAATATGATTCATTATCATTCCTTATATTGGTTATAAAACATACTGTTATTGTAAATATCCTGTCTTGAAAATAGTCTTTCTAGATAAAAAGGGCACCGCAGGTTTGCGCTCAAGATGCTGTGGGAAAGCATCCCATTCCATGATAACTGAGCAATTTATCTTTCAATGTGTTTCGTGTCTAATTTCCACAGTAGACTGCTTTCTTGCTCATCTCATTCAAATCTCATTACATGAAATTAAGAAAAAATTCATTTAGCTTGTTATAAAGGATCAAAGTTGTAAATTACAGACTAATTTTACTTTAGGACCCAGAACAAAAACAAACAAACAAAAAAACATAAAGAAAATGGATTAGTATTATCATAATCTAGGTCCCTGGAATATTATTTACGTGACTTTTTGTTTGCTTGATATCCTGCATCAGATGGGCCAAGACCCAATCAAAAGGAGATTCACTCTCTCCGAGCATTCCTGCTGCTGTTTGTCAAACAGCTTATCATGAAGGTACACTAGTGTGGCCATAACATACATACAATTTGAATAAAACAAATCCATAAGTGCAGTCCAGGTAATGCTTGTGTGTTTTGTAAATGCAGGATCACGACGTGAAGGAAGATGAACTGCAGAGTATTCTGAACTACCTGCTCACAATGCACGAGGTATCCTAATGCACCTACTTTAATTTCAAACATTTCTCAATTAATCTATTAAACCAGTAGCATTTTACTGTAAATTTAGGCAGATTATCAATTTCTCTTTTTTTTTATTACACTGTATAGTCTGTGGTGTTACTGCCACCAGATGGCGCTTGGTTCCTACAGCTTTCTCTCTTGTACATGTTAAAAAAATGGTAGTTTACCATCATGCCACTTCCCGCAAATGCTCTATTCTCTCTCTCTCTCTCTCAATTAATTTTTTTCAATTTAATATGTGCTTTATTGGCATAACAGTTGTTACAATGTATTGCCAAAGCATAGTGTTTACACTGAATCTAGAACAGATATCTATATAAACAAAATAATTAATAAATACATACATGTATATATAATAAAATAGAACAAATCAATTCAATTAATTCTATGAACAATTTAAAATTAAGTGTGTGTGTGTTTGTGGGTGCATCACTGATTTGTTGACTATAAAATTTATTTCTAATGTCTTGATAGTTAGGGCAGCTGGTGAGGAAGTGTTGCTCTGTCTCCACTTCTTCATGTTTACAGTATGGGCAGATGCGGCTCTCTTTGGGCAGCCAGTGCTGTCGATATCTGCCCGTCTCTATAGTTAGAGTATGATTGCTTAGTCTATACCTCGTAATTTGTCTTCTTAATTTACAGTCTTTCACTGTACTCAGATATTCTGCAGTTGTTATCTCTATTTAGGGCCAAATAACATTCAAGTTTACTTTGTTTTTCTGTTGTTTCATTCCAATAGGTTAGATAATTTTCTTTTTGTTCTTTTATAATTTGGTTGGGCAGAATTTTGTGTATGAATATTTCAGTGTCCTGATGCTGACTGTTGTTAGTCATGTTAGTTTGTTTTTGCTGCTTCAGGACCATCTGAATCAGGGGACTTTTTTCAGGGTTTACTTCATGGTTTTTAAGGGCTTTAAAATGGTAAGAGTTGGGGTCACTCATTTTTAGGTGTTTCCAAAATTTGATGTCTCGTTTCTCAATGCGCATTAGTAGAGGGTATTGGCCTAATTCTGCCCTACATGCGTTGTTCGGTGTGTTCCTCTGTACTCTGAGGATACTCTTACAGAACTCAGCACGCAGTGCTTTAATTGGATTTTTGTCCCATTTTTCAAATTCGTGATTTAGGAGAGGATCTCCACTGCCATATAATGCAATAGGTTCTATGACTGATTGGAATATTTTGAGCCAGATTCTAATTGGTATTTCAATTTGGATAGATTTTTCGATGGCATAAAAGGCCCTTCTTGCTTTCTCTTTCTGTTCATTCACAGCCAAATTAAGCTTACCAGTTGCACTTATTTTCAGCCTGAGGTATGTGTAGTTTGTGGCACTTTGGTCATACCAAGGGTAAAATTGTGTCTCTTTCCCTGACATCTGGGTTAGTGCTGGACGGTATGATCAAAAATTTATATCACGGTATTTTTCTAAATTATACCGGTTTCACGGTACATGACGGTGTATATTTTTTTTTCATGCCTGACCGGGAGTTAACCATATTTTCTACTGATTGAGAGAGGAAATACTGCAGTATATTGACTTAGAATGCCCTATTTTACTGTCATGATGAGTGAATATTGTCAAAAAATACCACACTAAATAGTGACTAAACACGACCCCTTTTAATACATGTTAACCAGGAGTCACTCTCATTTATAATCGCGGCATCGTCTGGTAAAATCAACATGCATCTACACTATGCAGTTGTTTTGGCTATATTATTTTTTTTGTCTCGTGCAGCGCACTGCCTGCGTCTGAGTAACAAACAAACAAAAACAACAAACAAAAAAGTGCATGTGATATTAACAGACGAACTACGCTCATATTTATAATTCCAAACAATCAGTAAGCAACAGGTGCCAGGAAACGCTGTTTTGTACTCATTTATTGAGGAGTCAGCTGCAGTGCGGCCAACTAAATGCACTGCTTCTCTGCTGCTCACTGCACAGAACAGACGCCGAGAGATGCGTTGTTTAAGTGACATACACCGGTATTGCAGTATTTTAAAAATTCATATCATGACAAAAATAAACGGTATGAACCGGTATACCGCTCATACACCGGTATTGCGGTATTTTAAAAATTCATATCATGACAAAAAGTATTCAGTATGAACCGGTATACCGCCCAGCACTAATCTGGGTCTTTTCTGGAATGTTGGTACTTTGAATGTTTAGTTTTGTTAGGATTAATAGTCAGGGCCCAGGTCTGACAGAACTTGTGCAGGATGTCTAGGTTCTGCTGTAGACCCTCTTCTGTTGGTGCCATTTACTCACTAATAATTTCCTGTCATAGAAGCATATCTATATGTAATGGATTAATTCTAATGTTAGGTTAATGCAGACACAGATTACAATGTAAAATCCCCTACTTAACTCTACTGCTATAATCACGATGAAGTTTAAATCCTAGAATAATTTTTGCAATGCTGTCTTGAATGACACCTGACTCTGACATATGCTTATTTATTTTACTTATTTTAATTTATTAATTTATTTTTTAAACAGGATGATAATCTGATGGATGTTCTCCAGCTTCTGGTGGCACTGATGTCTGAGCACCCTGTATCAATGGTTCAAGCCTTCGATCAGCGAAATGGAATACGGTTAGAGCTGTTGTTGCCCCTTACAACCAGACATTATATTCTTCAACCCACATCTTTATTAAAAGCTATAAATAAACCTGGGAAAAAAAATTCTGACAAATGAATTTGAATTAATCACTGTGGAATAATGCGAGGCCACAATACCTCATTCATAGCAGAGACATCTGAGTCCTGCTTAACAAAACCTATAAAAACACTTTCATAGTTTCACCTGATACCTATGCTGCTGTACTGAGCTCTTATACGGGCTGCATTTAGATTTCCAAAGCCTTTATAGACATGCTAGTTCCACTGACAGCCATGGGGTTAAATGTGCACACTAGCGGGGGGGCATCTGGACGGCTCGTCATGATAAAACAGAGGGCCTCACTTTCATTTTAGATCTGACAACCTCATTCAAATCACACTTCCATCAAATTCTACTCTAGAAGAAAATAGGCAGATTTATTTTAATATGTAGACAGTGTAATGGTCTCGGTTACATCTGAGTGTACACGTCAGCTCTTGTGAGATCTGTGTACATACCAGACTGCTTCACTGGTATTTTCCTTTGTCAGAAAGAAACACTGTGATTGAAAACCAAAATTCAACACCACATTTAAGCTTTACCCAATTGTACATTTGTTTTAAATATCTAATAAATATGGTCACACATTTGTTTGTTAAAAAACTATTTTGTTTTTATGTACGTTTTTTTAATGTAATTTTTATAAATATGTACTTTATTTTTTTAAATGTTCCTTCTACATTTTTTTTGTATCATTTTTTCCATCTGTTGTTACACATTTTTTTTCTCTTTGGTGAATAACAGGGTCATCTTTAAGCTGCTCGCATCCAAAAATGAAGGGATTCGTGTGCAGGCACTCAAAGTCTTGGGCTACTTTCTCAAATATTTGTCACCAAAGTGAGTTACTTCTTTATTATTTGAAATAAGGGCTTATAATAATAATACTGTTATTCATATTAGTAGCAATAACACGTTAACCTTGTATTAATATGTGATTCCTATACTGTACATGATTCAATCCGACTGTTTATTTTACAAAATGTTTCAGTAGTGGATGGTCTAGCTATAAATATTTAGCAGAAATAAACTCCCAGCATACCATCAAATGAGTTGAAGGCTGATTTATTTTTTTTCTTAAAATGAACGATTTAAAATAAGCGACTTGGTCTTTTCTCAGAGTGAATTCAGATGGGTTATTTTGATAACAAATTACCCTCACTCCACTATTAATTCATGCAGCATGGAAATATTTATGCGCTAATGTAGTCAAAGTCTGTAATCGTGTGTGAGTATTTTTCCAAATGCAGTTCCTGTGGTGTTTGATAGATAAAGCTCACTTTCATTTATAATCCCATTTGCTTCATTTGAATTTCCCCCAGAAGGAATCTGACCGCCAAGTGTTTTTAAAATAGATGCAACTTCATTCCGTGACTGCGAAGATATTTTTCAGACGCTTTGGGCTGCAGTTATGCCCTGTTGGGGTTCTGGCTTTGTTTGAAGTAGATCACAGTGTGGGTTTGGTGCTGATGTTTTGGATGCTATGCTTTTTAGGACAAAGTCAGAGGTCATGCTGGCTCATGGCCTGTTCTCTCTGCTCACTGAACGATTGATGCTCCACTCAAACCAGTTCACAGTCACAACATATAACGTGCTGTTTGAGGTCAGTCTCATATATTGATATGATTTTTTTAAATGTCTGCTTGTATCACTTTGACTATAATATTATGTGAATGTCACCAAAACATTACATTTTATCAGTTGCATTTTTTAGGCAAAAAGGCATGCTTTGGACATGTGGTGCTCATGCCAGACATGCAAATCTGGCCTGCTTTGTATTGATCTGATTTTCCACTCTTTTTTGTGGTATCTATCAATAAAAAGTGTCAAAAGCCCCCCTTGACATTTTTTAATTCATTTAAATAATTAAATTTTTTTTTTCTGTTATCTGTACTTTAGGTAGTTTAGTGAAGATTCTTGACAGATAATTTTAACTTGGCTACTATTTTGAATTCATATATTCAATTATTGAAGCGTGTTTTCATTTACTTTCTCTCATATATATATATATATATATAAATAATAATTTTTTTTTAAATCTTTGAGTTGTTTTTATTTTGTATTTGGAAATGTGCTGAAATGTTAAAAATGTTTTGCCAGTTGGATAATGATTGTTTTGAATCTGTTGTTATATATCATTGTTGTTATTTTTATGTAAATGGGTACTCCTTGTCATCCCTAATCTGGATTTTGTTGCTTAACTGTATATCAGTGACGAACCAGAGCTTACTTGTAATTTTCTCCAGATTCTTACGGAGCAGATCTGTACTCAGGTCATTCACAAACAGCACCCAGACCCCGACTCCACTGTGAAGATTCAAAACCCACGTAAGTTATATGACACACAATCTCTTCGCCTGTAACACCAGTAATTAAATGTGCATGTGCATAGATTCAATAAATATATTTTTAACTAATAATACTACTTTTAACTTGAAATATTTTTGATTGAAATACATCTGACTGTTTTTATTAAAGGAACCATTTTATTTGTATAACTTTCTTTTTGATTATGTATTTCTACTTTTTTTTTTGTTATATTAAGTTTTTTTTTTACTTTACCTGCATTTCTCAGAGAAATCGCAAATTATAAATGTTTTGAAGAAATATATACAAATAAAGTTATTTAGTTTACTTGCAGCACAGAATCACCTCATTCAGAGATACAGTAGCGGTCAACATTACGCCGGTGCGTTCTATACCGGCTCTCGTACTATGTATGAAAAAATGTCCTTACACGAGAGACGGCAAGATCACAAGCAGAGCCTGCCTCCTATTGTTAAATGTCTTAACTCTGCTTATTTTTACTCATGATTTACAATAATAGTGTTAAGCGAGTCTCATTTCATATTTCTGCTCCTGATGCGGTGCAAATCAAACATCCACCAGTATTTTCTTGCGTCTAATGAAGTATACGGTTACCTCAGACAAATGAAGCTCATTTGATAGTCACGATTACTCAGATGATAAACACATTAAAAAGTAATTAACTTCCCTCTGTAGCACTGAGATTTTTCACTGCATTGCTTTCATTCGCAACCAGCTACTTTCTGAATATTAGATGGTTGAATTCTCTCTTATAATGAGATGCCTTTATTTCCAGCCTCGGTTTATGCTCAATTTTACATGCGTCTCCTTTAAATTCAGCACAGGATTTGGCAGCAATCAGATGCTCTGGTTTTAATGTAAAAAGTGAAACTAATATTGTATACTGATCCATATCGGATCTTTCGCTAATGAAGCTTAATTCTGAGGTACTGCAGGCAGCTGATTAGAGCCGGATTTACATGGAGATGTGACCATGTACACGAACCACTTGCCAGTCAGAGAGACGACAGTGAATTACAGATCCTGGGTCGGTTCTAGAGCGCTCAGATGGAGATGGTAGACCAACAGAGTCTGATTCAAGGCCATCTCATATATGATCAGAGAGTGAGCACAGCAGAGTTTCAGCTTTCTTCTGTGTCTCCTTGATTTGATCTGTGTTGAAGCCTCTAAATGGCTCTGATTGCAGTCTTTAGCCATGTCAGACCCAATCAAACAAACTGAGGAAGCAAAAGTTTCTTTTAAATTAAACTCCGGGACAAACCAGGACCAAATGGTGATTGGAGACGGAAAAAAACAGAAAAGTGCAGAGATACATGCAAAGGTAATTTTCTACTGGTAAGGTTCAGTGACTCTAATTTGAGTGAGTAAGGCGTAGAAACAACACAATTCTGCTGGAACGAGTGAGAGCATTGGTTACAGATGCTGTCGTGCTCTAAACTCCCTGTGACGGCTGAAACTTGAGCTGCTCTTCTCAACCTAATGCATGCTGACATTGTCTAGATAATTCATCTAAACAACCAATCTTTCCAGTTTAAGCTAACGCTCTGTTCCAGGAAGCCACGACTTTAGCTGCAGAGTTTAGACTATACCGACCTCACGATGTAGAGTATACTTTTACTCCCTCCACAATATATGCAGGTTATTTTCTCACTAAACAATTAACATGTATCCGTTTTATAAAAAAATTGTTTTTCTTTCTCCTCCTTGATTAACACACACACACACACACACACACACACATATGTATATATATATATATTTACATTGACACTGCCATTCAAAAGTTTGGGGCCGGTAAGATTATTTTTTTGGTCTCTTATGTTCACCAAGGTTTCATTTATTTGATGAAAAATACAGTAAATTGTGAAATATTATTACAAATTCAAATACATTTTATTTTATTAGATATTAGATTTTTTTTTCTAATGGCAAAGCTGAATTCCAAAACTCTATTGTGTAAAAACAAAAATTAAGTGACTTTTAATGGTTCATAAGCTTTTTAAAAACAAGGCATTCAGATACAATGTGAAACAGTACTGTTCTTTCATGGGCATTAAAGGCAGATATTTTGTCCCATCAGAGATCCTAAAAGTGATAGCTGCTCTTTTAAAGAACGCTTCTCCAGGAGCAGAAAGCATGGAAGTACGGCGTATCTTCCTCTCAGATATGATCAAACTCTTCAACAACAGCCGAGAGAACCGCAGGTGAGGACACGCACACACACACACACACACACACACACACACACACACACACACACACACACACACACACACACACACACACACACTCACACACTCACAC